CCTCCGGCCTAAAGACATTGCAACAAAGATTTTTGAGTTATCAAAAAAGAAAACGTGCATGGTCAGGAAAGCTCTTGACAATAACCTTTGGATCCGCCATATTGACACTTAGCAGGGGCTAACCTTAGCCCATATTCAGGAATTTGCAACCCTGTGGGGGATGCTTGCTGATGTAACCCTCAACCAGGGAAGCCAAGACACCATAACTTGGGAGTTCACAAACAGTGGCAAGTACTCCGCCTCCTTGGCTTACATGGCGCAATTTGCCGGTCTCTCCTTTTGTCCAATGAATGCTACAATCTGAAAGATGTGGGCTCCACCGAAGTGCACATTTTTTTGCTTGGTTGATCTTTCAAAATCGTGTTTGGACAGCCAATCGTTTACTGCGGCGAGGCTAGCCAAGCTGCAATTTGTGCCCTCTCTGCAAGCAAGTGCAAGAATTTGCTGCTCACCTCCTATTCCAATGTAGGTTCACTGTCTGGATTTGGACCGAAATTTGCACTTGGCTTGGCATCCTTGACTCCTCACCAATGATTTGGCGTCATGAAGATTCAGTTAGAGATTGGTGGCTCAAGGCGGTTAATGGTGGAGGTGGCTGCAAGAAGGCCATCGCCTCCTTGATGATGCTTGTCTCAGAGAAATTTGGAAGGAGCGCAACGCAAGGATTTTTCAAAATGTCTCAGCCCCGACCTCCATTGTTATCGCAAAAATCAAAGAGGATGCCCATCTCTGGTTTTTGGCGGGAGCCAAACAACTTAGTAATGTTATGTCGCAAGAGTAGACCTTTTTCTTTTTGCCGCCTCGCGGTTTATGTCTAAACCTTCTTCGTAATCAATGAAAATGGCAAGTATTTTGGCTTGTTTAAAAAAAGGCCTGCAGAGCGGGGGCGGCACCCCTGGTCACAATAGCTAGCTCTCTCTACTGGTGCAGATGGATAGAAACGCACCTTGGATGGGCTGGGCGAGTGAATAGCATAAAACTACCACTTTTCGTGCTATGGTACCAAAAAAACTACCAAAAATTTGTTTGTGACTAATACCCAAATGGACAAGTGGTTAACATCTGATCAGGTTTATGACAGCTAGGGCCCGCCTTTAAGATAACGGTTCGTTTGACTGTTTGTTTGACCGTTAACTTACATGTGAGGCCTACATGTTAGTGTCTCTTCCACATATTTAAATTAAAAAAAATTGCATTCCCTCAATTAGCAATCAGGTCCCTGGAAATAAAATAAAAAGCAATCGGGTCCCTGAAAAATAAAACAAAAAGCAATTGGATCCCCGCCGACAAGCTCGTCGCCGGAGCTGATGCGGGCGTCGGCCGGCCTTCAGCGGCGCCGTCCCTGCTGCTCTGCTACACACGCGGAGCTTGAGGCCGTCGCTGCTTCCTTGTTGCACGCGGCAGAGCTCGAGGGAGGCCAGCAGGAGGTGAGGGAATCGGCCGAGCTCCGCCGGAGATGGGGCCGGGCAGCGCACACACATTAGGTCCACCGGCCATCCCCGTATCAGGTCACCGCCGCGCGCCATGGCGCTGCCTGGAGGTGCTGCTATGAGCCATGGGTCGCCGCCAACCTCTTCCTCTCCCGCGAGGCCGGCGAGATCCGGCACAGGCAGTTCTGCCACGTGCTGCTCCCTCCTCACCCGCTCTGGCCCTCCACTACCATGCGGGAGGCCGTGCTCCGACCAGAGGGGCACCATCGCGCGCCATGGAGGGGCGCACCGCCGCCGTTCAGGAGGTCGTGCTCCGGGCAGAGGGCGCTGCCGTGCACCATTCGAGGGTCCACGCTTGGAGGCCGGTGTCGAGCGCCATGGTAGATGGCGGCTCCGGTAGAGGGCAGTAGGGACGACCGGGGGAAGGGAGGGTGGGAGTGGGGAGGAGGAGGCCGGTGCATATCCGGTGGGCTCGAGCTGCCATGGCTCGTGCGAACAGAGAGAGGGAGATACGAGAGGAAAGGGAGAGAAGAAAGAGAAGTGGAAGGAAGAGATAACTGACATATGGGCCCCGTATATCAGTTAACAGTCAAACAAACGGTCAAACAGACGGTTCGTTTAGATGCGGGCCCGACCTGTCATAAACATGTTTATTTTCTTAGTACAGACAATTTAGGTTTTTTGAAACAATCGACGATGGTTTTGATAGTTATTAGTCACAAACAGATTTCTCATAGTTTTTTAAAATTCTAACGTGAAAAGTGGTAATTTAATGCTATTCACTCCGGCCGGGCACGCGTCTCCGCGAGCGGTGCGCTGGCCACCACCCACGAGAGACCGTTTCCGCAAGTACGCGCATCCATGTGCCGCCCACCCTGTCTGTTGCGAGTGCTTCCCTGCTCCACAACTCGATATCGCACCAAACTGCTGCTGCCGCACCGCGCACCGGGGCAAACCGGTCGGCCCTCATCGTCACTGTACGGCCTCGGTGCCCGACTATTGTGATTGCCTGATGGGGATGACCAGTTCTGGTATGCCTCAACTCGGTCGGAAACAACACTGCACGAGCACACCACATATCTGAAGCCATTTGCATGCAGGAACGTAGACACTGGGTAGCAACGATTACAAGAGTGCATCCGGGCTCAGATGAACCCGGACAAAATAAAAAAATCACAAAAAATAGAGAGAGAAAAAATTAAAAATCCAAAAAAAATGCCAAGCAAGATGCTTGTGTGCGTGATGTTCGTGCAAAATTTGGTGGAGTTTGAACATTCGAGGAGCGTGCGACAAAAAGGTCAAAATTTGGCCCCGTGAGTATGGTTACTGTTCATGCGCTGTTCAGGGCAAATTTCTCTTTTTTACCACGAGCTCCACGGATGTCCAAATGGGATGAAAATTTGCACAGATATCATGCACTCAAACATCTTCCGAGCAAAAAAATTGTTTTTTTATAAAAAAAAATCCTATTTTTAATCGCGGTACTATAGATGAGCCAAGCCTGGGCAGCGAAGTGGATTATCACAATTACAATAAACTAGTATGCTTCTGAACAAGTTGGCTCCATCACAAATTACTTGACGCGGAAATGAATGTATCTAGAAGTGAATAACTCAAGACGGAGGGAGTACTACGTATTTGGCTGGTGCTCTGCACCGGTCCACCAGCTAGGTCTCAGGCCGGCCGTCCCCCATTGTCAGATCGGCCCTCGTGTAACCGTCCGATCAAGTAAACACATCTCCTTCCTACGCATCCTTCTCCCTCCGGAGGAGGAGTGTGGAACCCTTGACCTCACGGCACACTAGCGTACGTCTACATCCTTTTTAGCCAAAAAAAGGGTAAGCTTTAAGGTTAGGGCATTGGACCCCTAACCTCACAGTACACGTCGAGGTACAAATGTTCATGCGTCAATAGATATTTATTTATGTTTTTATCATGAAATAAATTCGAATTCAAAACTTTATTAAAAAATTCATCCGATGTAAACTGTATTTTTGAGTAATTGCGGTAATGTAAAGATCCAGACCCACCGCTCTTAAAACAATTTAATTCAATAACCAAATCCTTGCCACTCACTCCTAATCTCTACTCGACAAAAATGTTGAAGTGTATGACTTTGCCACTGAAATACATCATAACCAGCCAAGGTGTAGGGTGACGCCACATGCAACCAGGGTTCACCGGGGGAGGGCACCCACCCTTGTGGTGCTATACGCTTTATAAATGTTTCAAAAACCTGAAAATAATTAGGTTCGTACAAAAAACATACATCTATGATGTCTCAAAATTTCAGATTTGAAATTAGACCTACAACTATTGAAATCTCTACTATTTTAAAATTAACGTAACGTTCTCATTTCATCTTTCTTTCTACCAACCGTTCGTCCAACATTTTATATATGATAACTAATCCACTTAGTTTACTTACCTTCTGAATCAATTCTACTTTAATATACTTGCCAAACTTTTGATCAAAATATAAGGTAATTTACGGGAAGACTTTAATGAACATTTATTTACACAATCACATTATTATGAACAGGTAAATCACAAGCTAACACACTAGAACATTTATATCATGTTGTAACGCACGGGGATTGTTCTAGTCAAAACTAAAATATGTTGAATAGCTCTCATTTTAGAATGGGCCATACATTTGGCCCATTAACACGATAAATGTTCATTTTTATTATTTTTGTTTCTTAAGATGTTATTCAAGATTACTTTTGATTATTTGTCACATGGTAGTTATATGTTATGCATACATGCTAAACTATTTATATATATTTTGTACACACTTGTATGATGACTTGTGTGCGGCTAGTGCACCAGGTACGAGGTTCACCGCGTTGACATGCTCCAGCGAGCCTCCTCCACTCAGAGAGCTTATTGGGAGCCCCTTCAGCCCTCTTCCCCTCCGCCCCCTTCGGCCTTCCCAACCTGTCAGTCTGTTGTCGGCCATAGACATTTATGCTATCAAAGGACAAATAGACCCTTTCCTCGCTAGAGTAGAGTGGTGGGCGAGTAATGCGGAGTAGAATGTGCTTTTAGGTGGAGTATGGTCAATGTGGAGTGTTTGTAAACTTTTGTAGGGGTTTTCTTTATCTTTCTCATTGAGTATATGGTATGCAGACTCGTGCATATTCAAGAAAAAAAAAGATGTCAACTGTAGGCGGGTCGATCGCTCCAAAAGCAAGAAGTATGGTATACATCACATCCATGTACCCATAATGTGAGCTGTGCTTACAAAGAAGCCAATCAGTCAGCCACCATAAATAGTGAACACCACCGTACATTAGGCATTAGATTAGAGATCATTTTCTTTAGTTATGATGATTGCACCATCCCATTATTCTGTATTGATGATGTTGATGATGATACACTTTTACGACCAACGTACATTTTGATACTTTGTAGTTTGCACGTTCGCCCCGGATTGAGCAAACGAGCGTTTGTACATTTGGTGTTCTTCTTCATACATACACATTAACACATACATACGTGAACCTGACCAATGCCTGGTTTTCCAAGGCATCAATCATTATTTAGCACACTTGTTACGTGTACTATTTAGTTGGGTCTCCTGCAGTTCAACCTGACCTCCGTCTGCGTCCCGGACGACGGCAGCAGGCCGCCCATCTTAAGCATGGCCGTGACGAAGTCGGCGGAGAACTGGCTGGGGCTGTTGCTGTACTGCCTCACCAGCGCATCCTGCGACCCGCCGTTGAAGAGCTCCTGGTCCGAGTGCAGGAGGCCGCGCTGCCCCACCAGGTTCTGGTAGTATGCGTTGTCGAACCCGTCGGCGGTCTGCACGTCGAAGGGCGCGAGGTTGCCGTTGCCGCCGGACCGCGGGCACGTCCGCTGCCGCAGCGCCGCGAAGCTGGCGTTGATGTTGCGCTCGTTGTAGATGCGGTTGCGAAAGAACTGGCACTGCGACCGCCCGATGGTGTGCGCGCCGGAGAGCGCCGTCATGTCCCGCGGCGACAGGTTCTTGTTGCCGAACATGGTGATGAGCGTGGCGAGGCTGGAGCCGGGCCCCGGCAGGTTCGCGTTGGCCGCGCTCTGACTCGCCGTGCGCGAGTCCTTGCGCCCCAGCGGCACGCTCCAGGTGGGACCTCCGAGCTGCACGCGCGCAATGGCTCAGCCGAGTCAGCCACGGCTAGTCCAGTAAAACAAAGTGCAGAACGTGTAGTGGTGTTTTGTACGGGTCAGCGACCGTTGAAGCTGGTCGATCGCGCGCGAGGACTAACCAGGTTGACTCCGTCACGGGCGGCGAGCGCGAGGATGTCGGCGCAGGAGACGGTGGCCCTGCACGCGGCCTCGACCTGGGTCTTGAGGGCGTCGATCACCTCGAACCCGCGGGCCGAGTTGGCGTTCGGCCCGGCGTTCTTCTCGCCGGTGAACGTCGACGTGTCGTCAAGCAGAATGGAGCCGTCACACCCCTGCCGATACGTAGCAGACAAACACAATTAAACTTCAGTACACCGCACGTACGTAAAATCCAACAATCGTGGAACACATTTGATGAACACATTTGATGGAACAGAACAGCAGAGAGGAACGGTGTTGCTCACATTGACGAAGCAGTCGTGGAAGAAGAGGCGGAGGATGGACGCGCCCATCCGCCTCTCCGTCTGCAACGCGGAGGTCATCCCCGACCGCACGATGGACGCCAGGTTGGGGCAAGACCTCGAGTAGAAGCTGGGCGAGAGCTGCTGCGCGCTCGCCTCGCCGACGAGGACACAGAGCACGGCGGCGAGGCCGAGGAAGGCCGCCGACCTGGTGGCGAAGGCGGCCATTGCTTCTTCGGCTTTGATGTGACGCGACTAGCTAGAGGTAACTCTTGTGGTGCGAGCTCGATGAGGTGAGGCGAGATGCATAGGGTGGCATCCTATTTATAGTGCTCGAGCTCGATCGTGGACGCTGACCGCCTAGCCGGCTAGCCCGCGCCCGCATGGGCTGGCGGGCGCGCGGTTCCGATCACGCACGTAGTTCGTGGCCGGACTCTGGAGCCGCAGCAGCTGGATTTGGTTGACCACTGATCGCTCCGGCATGGGCACAGGCTTGGCACGACGCTAATTGCTACTAATCAGCATGCGCACTCCTTGCACTGAATCATTGCATGTGTTGGTTATCTTATATTCGTATACCGTATTTCCCCGAGTATTATAAGAGGAACACAGAGACGTGTTGCTGTGCACGTCACTGGTGTAGGCTGTGCATGGGTGGGTCAGTCCGGATTCCTCAGAGTCGACGCATTGGCGGAAATTTCGTGGACTGAGGACGATCGAGGACCGAATGTTGCTGCTACCGTTACGTGCCGTACTGCTCCACCACGCTACGTGCTGTTGCTAGCCATGTGCCGGTTAACCAGACTTGCCTGCCTGGATAAGTTCAGGTTCAATCGGAAACAACACTCATTTTTTTATAGCGAGTCAAGCAGCACTCATTCTAGTATTTTATCGCCATCTCTCAGTTTGAAGCATCCGTATTGCTGCATAGGCTGGCCCATGAATCAGCTCGATTGGGCCAATCTGATCGTAGAGTTGTACGTAAGGGCGGCATTACATTGCAACTTGCATGTGGATGTCGAGGTCAAACAATTAGTCTGGAGATAGGACAATAATACTAGTAGTAGTATTTGGCTACCCTATATACATGCATGCATGTAAAGATCAATCACTTTCGTAGGACAGTGGAAAGGTTGGAAGCGCGCGTGTCTATCTCACTGTCACCCGCTTCAATGGAGTTCGAATCGTCCAGCGATCCGTGCTAAACTGGGGTCAGCTCCGATAAGCACTTCTTAACAGAAAAGCGACAGGAGTGCGTAACGTCTGAATTCGAAAATGAGAGAACATCACGAGCTAGCTTTCTCAAAGTGAAGTAGTACGTACATGGATAAGGCGTATATGCATGTGTTCGTTCATCGGAGTGACTGGGATTGGCAATCGCGTGTGTGTGGGCTGGCCACTAAGTACAAGAACATATTTTCTCACTTGGTGAAATCCTATCCCGGCGTACAAGAATACTCCCTCCGTCCGAAAATACTTGTCGTAGAAATGATTAAAAATGGATTTATCTAACATTAAAATATGTCTAGATACATCCTTTCCTCCAACATGTATTTCCGGATAAAGGGAGTACCATCAAAAATTACATCAATCTTGATTCCTATAACTGTTTTGGATGGAGTGCTAATTTGTTCCATAGTACTCCTAATTACGAACAAACGATCTACTACTATTACTGAATACGATAGTGCTTGCTCCGAAATTATATGAGGATTAAGTCATCATGCATTCGCCGTGCTACGAGCACGTACAATAAGGAAAGTTCAAATTGGCTTTGGTTGTTAAATAATTACAAAAAAGATCAACTAATTTCGCGTCGATTATTGGCGCTCGAGAATCAGGACGACAACTCATCAAGTATAGCTACCAAAAGTATGTGATGGTTTGAATTTAAAATTTGTCATCATGTACCGGATTTTGTCCTCGCTAGGCTAAATTTCAAAGATGCTTGTTCCCGGGATAAGATCATAAAGGGTGTCGCTCGGCCGTATCTGGCCCAGAATCAGCTCGTACCAAGTGGCCAGCATAAAAAGGAAATACAAAACCGTTTGGGCAATCAGACACGTATCTGTGTTAAAAAAATAAAATAAAATCAGACACGTATCTGATAATACAAGTACATAAAAACTTATGTATGCTCCCATCGATGCTTGGCTATCTTGTTTGCAACACTAATTTTGGCCACTGCAGAGAAAGGTCCTCGAATGAAAGTAATCAAGAGGGTGGTCCTTTGGATGGGAACGCTAAATATAGTGATGTGTAAAAAGTAAAAAAATATAAGTCTTTTTGCGAACAAAGTAGAATTATTGTTGCACTCGTATAAAATATTTGGTGAAGAATGACTTTCATGTTGTTGTGGACGTAAAAAAACAAATTTGTCACTATATATAAGGTATTGTTCACGCTATATGTTGTGGGAAATTTGTCATTTTTTTCATAATTTTATTAGAGAATATTGCGTCACAAAATATTTTTGTACGACAGAAAGGACAGCTCAAGTTTGTCAGGAAAAGTTTTTGGAACGTTTTGACTTTATAATAAATAAAATCAGTTATCAGGTGTAATTACCACCATGTTTCAAAGGGTATTTTCCGTGGTCGATTGATGTATATATGGTATTTTTTTGAACATAGTACAGGCGCAAGCACTCATATATACGTGCATATACTCACACACGCACACCCTACTCCTATGAGCACCTTCGAAAACTGAGCCGGTATATCATCTTGAGATTTACGAAGTCACTGTAGGCGCCTCGTCGTTGACGGAAACGTTTCCTCTTATTAAAAGCGTATCGCCGAAAATCCTAAAATAAATTCAGAAATAATGCAGGCACCAAGACTTGAAACCTGATGAGCTGCGGATACCACTGTTGAAAAACACTCGTGCGTAAAAAAAATTACAATACATACGTAGACGTTCATAACGCATACATACACTAAGCATCCACGTAACCTGTGACTATAGCATGTACAATTATATTCGATTCAATCAAATTAATGTCGTGGTATGCCTGGCATGCAAGTGTGCCGTGCCAATCATGTTGGCTGTGGTTAGGAAGCCCAATCATATTGTCACATCAAATTAACTAGCTGTATTTACTCGGGGCACTCTCATCATATTTTTGTGAGACAGAGAACACAACATAGACAACCCAACAACTAAGAGCATCTACAACCAGACTTGACAAATCCGACACTTCAAACATTTGCAGAGACGACTGAACGCGTTTACGGGCACTGGCCGATCACATCCCATATTTGGTGCTATGCGTCCAAATACCTTATATTTCATCTTTTAGATTCATACAAACCATGCAAAAGAGTTCCTATGTGCTATGTACACCATGCTAGCCTAAATTAAGCTTCGTCGTCGGAGGGCTCCGGGTCCTCCTCATCCATATACGCGAGTATCTCGTCGACATCTACGGCGTCCTCCGCCTCCGCTTCGTGCACACGATGATGCTTGGCCTCCACCGGCAATTCCGACCGGAGGGAATTGAGGATCACCTACTGCTCTGCCTGCAGATCTGCGGCCCGAGCGTCCCCCACACCCTAGTGGCGGATCCAAGATTTCATACTTGGGTGTTCAATTTTTTTGTGCGGGTTTCAAAAAGCAAACTAATAAAAAATCTGAAATTTTTATGTAGCAAGATTTTTTTTCGTTAAATTGACAATACCTTATAAAAATGAGAAAATAATAAAGATTATTTACTACATCATCATACAATTGGGGGTCACAAAGCCATTAGTATAAAATACTTCCTCCGTCCGGAAATACTTGTCGAAGAAATGCATAAAAAAGATGTATCTAGAACTAAAATACGTCTAGATACATCCATTCCTCCGACAAGTATTTCCGGACGGAGGGAGTACATATGAAGACAATGAACGAGAAGAATGCTAATTACCTGGTTCTGGTGACATGAGTAGGTGTATACTAATGTGCAACTCGTGCTAAAGGTAACAATCATGATGTTATGTCACTAACGAGAGGTCATTTGGGGACTGAGAGACACCATACACCATATATAAAAAAAATCTTGCCAAAAAATTCGGGTGTACGTATGTACACCCATGCCCAACTGTGGATCTGGCACTGCCACACCCCCCTCCTCCCAGTCCTTCCCCACCATCTCCTCCTCCTTCAAGTTCTCCTCCGGATCCACCGCATCGGGAGGTTGCCTCGCGGCGGTTCGGGCTTCGCGCGTTGCTTGGATCTGCTCAAGGAGGTGCAGCTGGTGCTCCGGCGTTAGATATAGGTAGCTTCTTACCCGGCGGCCCTAAGAATATATCTTCATCGTCGAAAGAGCAAATTCCACTCTTGAACTATCCGGTCATTTGTCAAACTTCCCGTGAGCATGAAAGTTGTTATTATGATCAAGTTGTTACAGATGACGTTTGAATCTGAGATAACAAACGTGCAAGCGTAAAGAAATGGAGAAATCCTGGAAAAAAAGTGGAGGAGAACTCTGGGACGCAACGTATCAAGATTCAAGCCCCTGTCTGTCCAGCTAGCGCCGCCTTCAATCAGGTTTCTCCCGTAAAAAACAAAAAGGTTTCTTCCAGTCACCGTTGTCTAGTGGACCAAATGGGAGGGTCAGAGGTCAAACACGGTTATGCCTGCATGGACCGGCCTTTGCGGCAGGTGGCCATGCACGGCCCATCCTTTGACCTCACCTCGGCTTCTGCATCGGAGTTTGGACATTCAATCTGCATATAGAAAAACTTGTGAGGAACTTCTTTTTACCTACTGACGCCACCATGATTTTGAGCCTTCATGTGTGCATAAGGAATATTGAGACTTCTGGTCTTGGGCTCATGAAACAAATGGATGCTTTTCGGTTCGTTCTGCATACCGCATGTTGCTAAACATAAAAATCACTAGGGAAGTGTGGCTAGAGGGTAATAGTGATACTTCGGATACTGAGTCAGCTGCGAAGCAATGGACTAACCTGTCAGGCATTACGGTACCATCGAAGCTTAAGGTTTCCTCGTGGCATCTTGCCAAACATTCAATTCCTACTTTGGATGTGTTAAATCATAGAAACATGTCTGATGCACCATATTGCCCACTTTGTGGTATGTGTGATTCCTGGAAGCATGCACTTCGAATGCTCTTTGGCCAGATTGGTATGGGCTCTTGCAAAGGAGGAATTGGTTGAACATATGATAATGACTACAATTTCGGATGCAAAACTTTGGCTATTTACTATGCATGATTCAATG